GCACAAAGCTACAAAATGGGCTATCTGTGCTCTGACCACCAAAGATATCGAAACCCGGTTTGTGGCATTGTAAATTCGCAGAGTCTTCTTAAGTAAATGTCTTCCACATTCTGTTGTTTACAATTTTTCTGATTTTGAATAATACATTACAGATTTTTTTTTAATTTCGCGTAAAGCTACACGAAGGCTATCTGCGCTAGCCGTCCCTAATAGCAGTGTAAGACTAGAGGGAAGGCAGCTAGTCATCACCATCCACCGCCAACTCTTGGGCTACTCTTTTACCAACGAATAGTGGGATTGACCGTCACATTATAACGCCCCCCACGGCTAAAAGGGCAAGCATGTTTGGTGGGACAGGGATTCAACCCCGCGACTCGCAGATTGCGAGTCGAGCTGCTTCACCACCGGGCCATGCCGGGCCTCTACATTATAGAACTATTGGTCTTGAGTAAAGCACAAAAGATAAAATCAAAAGTTTAAATTTACGTAGATACCTCAACAAGTAATATGTTTGATATATTTAATATCTGGTGTCCATACATTACTGAGTACAAGTTGGTCATTGTCTTTGTTAATATTCATGGTAACCTTGTGCTTGGATGACAATATAGCCTGGCAACCAAAGTAGTTTTTTTTTTAACCTAATCTTGCACTGGAAGTACCACAATGGTTCTTTGCTCATTTTGTATTTTCAGACCATATACAATCAGAAAATGGAGTATGTGACGCTGGCACCTTTGGGAATTTTTAAATAATGACTGGTTTCCATGTTAACCGTTCCCCTCATTTCATATCTCAGCAACTACAAGTGATAGAATGTTGGATAAACTGTCCATTTCTGGGTTTTTGTGTACAACAGATATACTGGTGGCATCGCTTTATTGGTTGGAGAGGTGTTTTAAAAAAATATATATATAATGTGTTTTTAAAATATTTCATCCACTGTTATGAAACTTCTATAAAAACTGTTTATAAAACTTTTACAAAAGTTTTATTGTATAATTGAATAGAACTATTATCAAAACGCTTTTTGAAGAACAGTAGAGTGTATACATTAATCAAACAAATCCAAACGTTTGGAATTATATATGTTTTATGATATAATATTTTTTTTATATTTTAAATTAAATTAGACCCCATTATATTTGTGTGTATTTTAAATGATCTCTTCTCAATTATAGTGACGTCATATTTTACGTGCACTTGCCACGTTTATTCAATAAAATATATACAGTAACTAATCAGCTAAGACTATATAAAGAACAGGTATTATCAGTGCTTTAACAAATTGTATCTACTCTGACTTTATCGGATCAGGAATTCGTCAGAAATGTGTGACTAATCCTAAAGTTATAGAGGTGAAATTTTGTCCAGACAAAAGTTGCTTACTGAATTGTCAACACATTTTGATTATTGTTATTTTTTTACATCATCTTAACTTGCGTGTATACTGGTGTTCCAAGACAGAACCAAAGATGTATTTGACATGTATTCAACTGATTGACCTCATCGTCGAGAGTTTACTTGACCCGAAAGAATAGCTGCAGATAACTGGTTGTAAATGGAAGACATCTAAATCCTATTGAAATAAGTCACAGTCCAGAAGATATGAGGAATACCCAAGAGGAAGCAGACATGATCATCATCCACCACTTGTTCATTGATCTGGATGAGAGTGGCGTTGGAGCTAACATTAAGGTCATTTAAGATGACACAAATGTGTTTATTCTTCTGGTCCAGTTATGTCAAAAAGGTGTCCTACATGCCCTATGACAATGAAAGCACCTTAAAAGAGAAGAAATGCATTAATATTAGAGAAACTGCTCAATTACACCCAAATATTGTGGGACAACTTTTGGCAGAGAATGCATTGTCTGGATACGATACTGTGGCTCAGTTGCTTGTTATGGACATGCTGGTGCCACATCAATGACCAATGTTTGTTGCTTCTTATGGACACGCTGGTGCCACGTCAATGACCAATGTTTGTTGCTTCTTATGGACATGCTGGTGCCACATGAATGACCAGTGTGTGTTGCTTCTTATGGACATACTGGTGACATATTGTCAACACTGTTTAGTTGTGTTTCATATCATTCTGTTTTAACTACTCGTTTTTAACTGTTTATTTGTGTTTCTTATCACACTCCCTTTTAACTACTAGATTATATTGTGTAGTTTTATTTCTTATTATTTAGGTTTTTAACTACTGGCTATTAATAGTTAGTTTTATCATCCTCCAGTTTAACGTATTTTTTGTTTTGTTCAATTTTATTTCTGATCACACTCAACTTTAATTACTAGCTATTTTCTGTTTGCGTATTTTATTGCACAACATTTTAATTAGTGATTTTTACTGTTTAGTTTTTTTTTACCACTCTCCGTTTTAACTACTATTTTTGCTTAAAACACAAAACAAGTAACAACGTTTCGACCTCCTTAGGTCATCATCAAGTTATACTAGACATTATTATGTATAGCTTCACAGAGACATTGTCGGTCAGTTTGATGGAGACCGTAAACACAGGATTAATGGCATTGAAAAACGAAGGAAGGTGGATCAACTTGGGGTTTCAGGACCATGCAAGAAGAGGCTTAAAACAACACGATGATCTAAGGACGTCGAAACGTTATTACTTGTTTTGTGTTTTAATAAGAGTGTTTAATACCCATATAAGCTGTTTCTACCATATACAAGTAAAAAGAAATTTTGAAAATAAAAATGATGATGTAGGGATGGCAATGCCAAAAAGTACAGAAACAATGTAGGGATGTGTAAATTTCTTGCTTCATTACACATCATGTATTTTATTTTGATCTTCCTTCTTTGCTTGCCGTTTTTGAACTGTATCAACAAGCCTCATACAGTCTTTTCGTTGTAACATTCTTTAATTCCTGTATAACCCACACTCCTAACGAAGAGCTTATGACCTTAGCAAGTGTGTTATGCAAGGAATACAGCTTTACAGGATGTACTATCTCAATCCCAGAATCTATATCCCATCAACGTTAAGGACACGTTTTCCTGAACTATTTATGGACCAAAGTGTTTGTAGGCTCATGACTTTGTTGGTTACAGGATCTCTAATAAATTATGACTTTGTTGGCTAAAGAGTCCTTAATAATTCATAACTTTGTTGGTTACAGGACCCCTAATAACTCCTGACCTTTTAACTACAAGATCCCTAATAACTCATGACTTTGTTATAAAGTCCTTAATAACTCTAATTTGTTGGTTACAGGGTCCCTAATAATTTATTACTTTGTTGGTTACAGGGTCCCTAATAATTCATGACGTTGTTGATTACAGGACCCCTAATAACTCCTGACCTTTTAATTACAAGATCCCTAATAACTCATGACTTTGTTATAAAGTCCTTAATAACTCTAATTTGTTGGTTACAGGGTCCCTAATAATTTATTACTTTGTTGGTTACAGGGTCCGTAATAATTCATGACGTTGTTGATTACAGGATTCCTAATAACTCATGACATTGTTAGTTACGAGGTCCCTAATAATTCATGACTTTGTTGATTACACGGTTCTTAATAATTCATGACTTTGTTGGTTACAGGGTTCCTAATAACTCACATAAAAGAATAAACAAAAGTATTACTAATATTACAGTTAATTATTTTAATAATTGCTAGGGTTTCCTATATACTTTACATAAAAAGTGACTTCACCTAATTTATTTGGTTAGTTCTCTACAATACGGTATCGGTATTAAACGGTATAAATACGATGAAAGGAAGTACTCTGTCGTAATTAAAAGTAAACTTGATAAATCGGATAAATAGAGTAAAATTTAATGAAAGTACAACGTTTCACCAGGTTAACCTGGCATCATCAGTTGATGTACCTGATGATGATGCCAGGTTAACCTGGTGAA